CATCAGTATTCATCTGGCTAGCATCCTGTCAGTGTGTGAGAGTTGAGGGCTGTTTGGAAACTGAAATAGTATTGTGTGAGCAAGAAGGAGACAGCAAGGAGCCTGGGCGTGGCTTAGCTCAACTGTTCTGTACTAAAGCTGCTTGCTGCTCTGAAATTGAAACTCCTCTCCTCTGCTTGTGTTTTGCATTTGGAACAGATTTCTTGTCAGGTGGAGAGGGAGAGTAGAACTCCTTAGCATCAGAGCATGTTAATAATAATATAGGAAATATTAATGTTCTGATGGTCATTTCTAAAAATCCTTTCTTAGTGAACACCTAGAAGCCAAGAGGAACATAGTGCCAAATTTCAAGTTTATAGGCTTTATGGTTCTGGAGATTTTGTCATGATGCATGCGTGATATTTCACTTTTATATATATAAATTAATCAATGAATACTGTAAGCCATCTTGGACATGAAGCAAGTCATGCTAAATTCAGGGGGATTAATTTTTCAGTAAACCAGCTTATTTAAGCTAAGAGCTGGTAAGAGGAAGTCAAAAACCTGGTTGGGACTAACAAAGTTATTGCTTTAAAAATAACGGGCCAATTTGTTTTCTTCGCTGGTTCCTGTTTTCATTTAACCGAATGCTCAGATCAAAAGTCTGCTCTGTGAGAGGATCAGAGTTTCTCAGCCTTATTAACTTTAAGATGCATGGATTTTAAGACTCAACATTCCCCAGCCAACATGCTGGTTAGGGAATTCAAGGAGTTTTAAATCCACACTTTGAAAAGTTGATAAGGTTGCAGAACAATGGATTCGATGAAAGATCAATTGTTCCCTATTGTAAAAGATGGAGTAATGTTGAAGTACTAATCTTTATGACAACCATCGTAAAGTACTAATTTTTACTAATTTTTATGACATCCATCATTATCATAAAAAGCCTCGTGATGTTGAATACCCAGGGATCTTTCATATAGCTATGACCATTTCAGGTGAGAGCGATGCTCCAGACATGATGCTTTATATTTTGTTTGGATTGCTGCAATGTCCTTTAGTTGGGTCTGCCCTTGAAGGCCATTCAAAGATCTTTCACAAAGCCTTAAAGCAGGGGTGTCCAACCTTGGCAACTTTAAGCCTGGAGGACTTCAACTCCCAGAATTCCCCAGCCAGCAAAGCTGGCTGGG